TTTTTTTTTTTTTTTTTTTTTTTTTTTTTTTTTTTTTTTTAATATGATCCTATTTTGAAACCAGCTTTCTCACAAGGTATAGCTAATAATTAAAAGTGTCCATTTCATGGCTTATAGCCTGAGCTTGGTCTCTGGAGGTGACCATATCCACCTTAACCACGACATTTCTTGTGTGCTGTTCCTAAATGTGAGAGGGAAATAGAAAAAACCTGAGAGCTTGCAAAGCACCAGCACATCCCTCTAATGTGTGCCATGCACTGAGGTTTTTAAACCATTCTCACCACTGGGTCATACATCTAAAGAGCAATGTACTGGGCAAAAAGGATACTACCACTGCTCATGAAATGAGCTGCTTGCCCATAAATATTTATATCTATGTAGAACTGTATGGGATCTGGGCCTCACAGTTCAGCTGTGGAAAAAACTAAGGGAATAGTGATGGTTTTTTTCTGTAGGGTTTTTTTCAAGGTGAGTCAGAAATCCAGTGTTCAGAATATGAACTTATGGGTAGAAATTCCCTTTTCATAGACTGGAAGCCAGGAAGGTTTGGAGGCAGTTGCAGGAGGCTGAGAAAAAGGAAGTCAGAATGTATGATGGAAACAGGACCTTAACTGGTAAAGAGCAAGGGAAAAGAAATGGCTGGTCCAAAAACCTGCAGTATTGATGTCCCAGGAAAAGAACTCACACATTTTTTTTCTTTAGAATTACTAAATAATCGGTTTATGATTTACTGAGCAAGTGCACTGCTTTCTATGACATATTAGTACTCAGGTTTGCTCCCTGTTTCTCTTTTAAAGAGGCAAGGAAATGTGATGTGTTTGAATGTGATACTCAAACCACAGTCTGTGTAGAAGGCCTGTTTCCAGAATGCCAATGCAAAAGTGGTTTAGAAAAGACAGAATGGGATGATCGTTCTTGTTCAGGTAAGAACCTTGCTACTTTATCTATCCCTGAAAGTCTGACCTGCTTATTCCCTGTCTCAGTCCCTTGTTGAAAAAGGATGCTGTGCAATTGTGCTGACCTCTAAAAATCATGGAATGTGTGTCTTATTAAGAAAGCCATAGAAACACATTCTCACATTTCACTTTGAACAGATCCATAATTCTATTCCAGTAGAAGAAACTACTAAAGCTTGATAAAATTATCACTGAAAGCAGTTAGTGGGCAATTCTTTAAATGCATTGTTAGACTCTTGGTAAGAACTGAAACCTAAACAGGTGAAGGATGGAACAAATTGAATCCTATGTTCACAGCCTTCTCTGCTAGTACATATTTTGGAAATAAATTCTGCATGCTACTTGAAGGCAGCTATGGGAATGTTGACAGAACTAGAACCCTCAGGATGCACTACAATGACCTGTTCATTGTTCATAGTTCTAGGTTTGCATGACCTGGATTTAGACAGGTTTTTGTGGAAAGAATGATTTCTGTGACTTTTAGGAACTGTTAGTTGTTGGGTTTACTTTCTTTACAGTTTTGAATTTTTAATGGGTACTCTGTTTATATTTTTAGCTGTCCTCCAAAGCCCTGAGATGTACCTTATTTTCTTCTTATGGAAACTAAAATTTTTACACTACAGAAACTAAAAAAGCTCTAAGATATGAGATTTTAAGAAAAACAATAAATATTTCAAACGCCTATGATAAAGTTATGAAAGCTGGCTGCAATAAAGCCCAGTGAGATGTGATCCAGTGTAGGCCTTTGTGGCCCCTAACCTGTCTTAACCTGTCTAAATCTGATCCAGTTTTAGATCAGTTGCAATACAAATTATCTGCTGTCAGATCAAACTGCAGGTTATTGCTTGCCTATGTTAGATGCAGTCTGGATAGATTTCCTTTTTGATAAAGCTGAATGGTTTTAAACAAAGCCAGTTTACTTCTAATTTTGTACTTTTGTATTTCAGTTTCTGTTCTACATAGGTATAGTCCTAAAAAAGCCATTCTGGTGCTTTGAAGAATGAGAGAGTTGTATATGTTCTCAGTGCAATAAAAAAGGGGGGAGAGGGGCTACCTTTAACATTGATTTGGGGAGGGGCTATCTTCAATTAACTCATATTTTTTCCCCCGAAAATACAGCTTGCAGTAAAAGCTGTTCTGCGCAAGCACACAAGTACTGCACAATAAAAGAAGGGATCCCAAAATGCACATGTATGACTAACTTTAAAGAGAAAGATGGAGAAGATGGAGAATGCGTACCGTGAGTATTCAGCCTTTTATTGCATTCCCATGTTCTAGGCAAAGATAGGGGAGAGGGACATCTGACATGGGGTCAGACGCAGTCTAGAGGAACAGGCTGCAGCTGTGTGAATCAGAGAGGTGCCTAAGGTGGTTCACCAGTGGACAAATTCCCATTGTGTCCCAAGTTAAGCCATTTTTACTGCTTGGCATTAGTCTTTTGTGGTCACTCATAATATGTGAGAGGAAAGCCAAGGAGGCCCAGGGTCACCCATGAGTCAGCGAAGAGGATAAACTACTTCACTACATAAACACAAACTCAGAGTAAATGGACCGTGGGAACTGATATGCTGAAGTGTTTAGCAAGCAACAGGCATTAGAGCAAGAGGCATCAAATCCCTGGAATGTTTCCATTGATTTCAGTGGGGACTGTTTCCTGACAACTTTCAGACCTATGTTATTTCATCTTGGTTTTCTCTCTGAGGGTATTTTTGTCAGCTCAGGATCAGAGCAGAACGGTGGTGTTTTGCTGGTGAAGCTGAGTAAGTGACTGGTTGTGCTCTGCTCTGGTGAATAAGTAGGGGGACCTTACTCCCCATGTCCATTAATTCAGCTCTTTTTGTAGTTATTGTTGCTGCACACTGAACACTTCTTACCATAAAGTTGATATATTTCAAATACAAGAAACTAGTATGGGAGGAAGATATAGAGTGCCCAGTCCTTACAGACCTTATGTGAGGCTTTTGATAAAGACAGTGGCTCAGAGGTGCAGAGCTTAGTTCTTTAGAAAAATTAGGTCTTTTTAACGTTTTTCAGACTAAGAACTTGAAACTTTGAGTGCCCAGATCATCAGTCATTCTGAAAATCTCAGATTGTTTTACTCTAATGAAAGTAAAGAATTCAATATTAAGAGGAAACCTGTAACGAACACACCTTGCGGTGAAATTACAGATAAAAGGGGGAAATATACTATTGTTTTGTGATCATAGAATTATAGAATGGTTTGGTTAGAAAGGACTTTAAAAATCATCTGCTTAATGACATTATCTTTTCTTTCTTTCCTCTTTTCCTGTGTTCTCTCCTGTAGTTGTCGAGTGGGCTATTCTGGGGAGAACTGCACTGACAGTAAGTATAAGAATTTCCAATTTTTAATTATAATGTGGAAAAATACCTGGTAATGTTTAATCTGTCTGAAATTAAAAACATTACAAGTAGCAGCCTTTAGGCATGCCTTTGTTCTGCACTTACAGCAGGGAAACGTTAGGGGAAAAAAAGGAGTGAAATTTATCTTATGCCTTATATGCTTAGGGCATAGAAAGAGCCTGTTTGATACCTAACTACACATTTTAGCAGCAATACTAGCTTAAGAACCCCTGCACCCTCTTAGTTGTTCCTGTCCCTCAGCTATAACTATGTGTAAAACCATTCAGTGCATGGTATCAGGAACTTGAGCTGTGATCAAAATAGCATTCAGAAGAGATGGTCTGTAATGCAGATCCTTAATTTACATCTTCCTGTGCCCACAGACATTTGTAAGCACAAGGAACCTGGGAATAAATGACATCTTCCATATTTTCCTTCCTTCCTTCCTTCCTTCCTGCCTGCCTTCCTTCCTTCCTTCCTTCCTTCCAGACAGGTACAGAACTTGTTTTTCAATATTCACCATGAGTTTTCAATTGATCAATTGATGGGTTTTGTTTGCTGGTTTTTTTTTTCTGCAGACACTGAACTCATCCTTATAATAGTGGGTACAGTTCTTGGAGCCATTATTCTGAGTTTAGTGATAGCAGTCTCTGTAATTTCAGCAAGGTAAGAGTATTTCTTATAATTGAAGCTGCATTGCTGCATGTTCATAGAGAACTAAGCAGAAATTTAGAAAGGAGCAGGGCTGTGGATGAGGTTGCAGGCCTAGTTGGGCAGACATGTTCACTTAAGCCATACAGTCATCAGAATTTGCTCTTACCTATGTGCTCTTACAAGAAGCATTTATTGTCTTGCTGTGAATTCAACTATGAAAACTTCAGTCAAGTCTTCAAAATACACACCTGATCCATGAGTCATAATCCTGCCCTAGCCAGTATTGATATGGCATCTGGATAAGACTGAAGAAGGATGCTGATATCAGAAGACTGTGTGGCCCAAATTCAGACCCTCTGCAGCTTTCCCTGCTCACACTTCAGCTCAAGGCCTGGCATGGCCTTTTCAGCTCAATACAGGTGTAATTTTCAGCCAAGCATCTCCTTAAAGCTTGCTATTCCTGGTGTACTGGCAAATGTCTGATTGTGGTTGCACCTCTTCACTTCTCTCCACACAATAAATAGTCAAGCAACTCCTCTGCCTTTGTTCCCAGCACTGCCCAAGTAAAGATGCCTACGAGACCACCCGCAGCAGACACTGCTTGCCAACAGGTGCACAAGCTGGTGTCAAGTGTATCTGTCCACCTTTGGCTGCAGGCATGAGGGCACCTTTTCTTAACTGAGTCTAATGAATGCCTCATTTCTTCCTCTGGATAGTCAGTTAGAGCTAGTGGCAGTTGAAAGAAACTCCTTTACTCTAGGAACTAACTGAAAGAGGCCAAAGTCCCCCTCTGCCTCTCCTGGCAGCTTTGCCTCACCTGTGAGAAAAGACGCCAAACTTTGTACTCTTATACAATAATAACAATTATAACAATGATAACAAGGGTTATGCAGTAGGCATACTACAAAAATCAGTTGCGAGTTTCAGAAGAGGACTGAGAAGTCAAAATAAGGTGGGAGTGGACAACTCAATAAGTTTGACTGACTTAATAAGTAAGGCACACTAAATGGTCTTTTAAAACCTCCTTTGTTCTTTCATTTCCTCTGAAGAGCCAAACACAAACAAAATCCAGAGAAGAAGAGGCTGATAAAGTCAGGATATTCCGACACAGATCTCTCTGATGATAGACCGACCATAACGTTCCCCAGAGTCCAGACCACTTCTGGCCATGCAAACCCAGGATATCAGCCAAACAACCCATATGAGATACCTTCCACAAATAAAGGTCATTTTTTGGAGAGGGATTATGATGATTTGGTAAGTGTTTCACATAGACCTGTGGGAATTGCATGGAGAAGGGTCTAGAGAGTAAGTCCTAGAGACGAGCATAGTATTGTGGGCTACAGACACTGCTGGAACCTAAACTTCACTTTGTCCATCCTCCCTTGATCTAGAAGGCCATAGTGGTATAAAGGCATCCAAACAACTGTAGCAGCAGCTGAAAAATTTTGCCTTAATAGAGAGATCAGCACTCAACTCATAAAGATCTCTCTAAAGTCCCAGTAGTCATCCTTGAGTCACAAGTGAAAAGCAATGGCCAAAGCAACAGCTTGGCTGCCCAGGGGTCTGCTGTGTCATAGAACATTTGACTGCACTGTCCAAACATTCCTCACCACAAGTGTGCCTGCAAGCATCACAGGCTGTTACCACCTGTGCTTCTTTTAAGCCAGTTGTGGAGTCAACAGGTGCTGCAGTGGCACTTCCAAGCTGCACCATCATGCAAGATTTACAGACAGTTTAAGCTGGGACAGCTGCCCAGAGGGTCGGTGTCCTCCCACCTGCTCTGCTGCTGCTTTGTTCACAGCAAGAGCCTCTGCAGCTGCTGCAGCACTGCAAAGGGGCAAAGTGTGAAGTGCCATGAAGAAGCTTTTGCATTGCTATAGCCCAGAGGAGCCTGGTCAGTAGAGGTGTGTCATTAGCTGGAAGGCGTGTTCTAAAAAACACGCCTGTTTTATCCCTGCCTGTTTTATCCCTGAATTTTGCAAGGGAGCTGTAGAGGAAGCTGGGCCTTGAGACGTGTATGCTATGATATGATTAATTTGCTGGGTTCAACATGAATCAAGTAAATAAGAAGCACAATGTATGTTCAAATCTTGTTGAAACGACATTTTTGCTCCATCTCTGTGGTGCAAGAAAATGTCCCTGTTTAGTGAAGAAATCTGTTTAATTGTAATACATTTACATGTTTTGCAGAATTGAGGTCTAAACCGTGACAGGAGCAACCCGGATATCTGATGTTTAAAAAAAGCAACAGCTTTTAAAAAGCTGCCAATTAAGAGAAGAAAAACATCTAAGTAGTTAGTTGATTGGTCAGATTTGCATGCATTTGGGCATTTCTAACTTTCCAAAGGTGTCTACTTCTCACTGATTCAAGTCTGCCTGTTTGGTTTTCCTTGAGGGTTGGTGAAGGGGCTCTCACGTGCAGTGTGCTACATGTTGAACTCTTCTGAGAAAGGAACTTTCTGACCCAGAGCTACTTCTCATTTCTCTTCTCCTCTTGTCTAAATTCTCTGTAGTACGAACCATCACAGGAGCGTGGGGGCTTTAGGATGCAGAGCAGATACTAAGTGACAAGAGCAGTAGAAGGACCTACGACCACTGCAACACTGGGTCAGACCAAAGAGTTTCACAGCCTCTCACCAATGCAGTTACTTCAGCAGAGGAGACAACAAAGTCCTTGACTCCAGATTCTCTCAAGATTTTCTAAAAGAAGACCCTCGCTTGAAAGAGATCATGGACAACTCTGAAATAAGGGGAAAATGTAGTAGGGGATAGGGAAAAGAAGAAGATATCTTTTAAAAAAACTAATGAGCTCCAATAAACATTAGACTTCTTTGAGAAGGCCAGTACACTGGCAAGAGAGCAAATGTATACAAGATATCAGGATTTTAATCCTGCTGGTTTTCAGTTCTTCTGGAAGAGGGTCCAAGCAGTATGTGTGATGCTGAAAAATGTCGGCATCCAGAGCTTTACCTTTATTTGTGCTCACTCAATTTCAACTAAGGCTTTGGGCAGATCAAAACTGTTTTTCATGAGATCCTACCCTGTTTCACTTTACTATATCAGATACAGTCTTTTTTACCCTCCTCAACCCCCTGTATTTCCTATCTGAAAGCATTTTGTTCAGATCTCTGCTGACATGTGTTGTGTAAAACAATGGCACTTGTCTGATGTTTTCCACAGCCTTCCTTCCCAATAAAATGGCAAGAAACAATATCTTCAAACAAACAACTTTGTTCTCCTTGCTGCCCAACTGCATTGATTTTACATTCTCAGTTCCTGTGGAAAGTGTTAGATTTTTTTTTTCTCTTGCACTCTTTGTATTTGAATGATCTTAAGGTTGGTGTTTGGGTTTTTTCCCCCCGATTTCTTACATATGGTCAGTAAATCTATCTGTAAAAGAATCCACATTTTACCGAGTGTGCATTATCTATTGGCTAGCATTAACATTTTCTTTATATATATATAAAATATGTATAAGCACACATATGTACATATATTTATAGTTTACATTCATTTAAAACATAATTTAATTCTGTTATATTTTCTGTTTTGGATCTTATATATGTAGATTAATTTTTCCTATTAAACATTATTTTTTCTCAGTACCAAGACTTTCTTATGTTGCTCTCAGTGGTGTAAGTGGGTTTTTTATAACTCTGGAGACTATTTTATGTTGAAATTTGTGCTGAATTTAGACACAAGTGTGCACAGACTGGTTACATCAGCATCCAGCTTTTACTCAGCGGTTCTGATCAGAAATGTTATTAAATCTTAATGAAGCTAAAATGTTTATTGTTGTAAGACTGGCACCACTTTTCAGTGGTTGTTTTCAGTGGGAACTGGGTAGTTAATGCAGTGGATCTCCTTTGAAAATGCTGGACAAGCTGCTCTCTTTGATGGCAGCTGCTAGTGGCACACAGCTGAAAAAAGAAGCATCTTTCAGCTTAAGTGACAAGTTTTGGGGGTCAGTGGTTGAGAACACTGTATGTGGCTGTAAAGGTTACCAGGATGTCCATGCAGATACATATTTTCAGTGCTCTCCATGATCAAAACGAGCTCCTAATTTTTGCAGTTGAAAACTGAGAAAGAAACAGTCCTGATCTTTTTCGTGTGGCTTTTCTAGCAAAAGAAAGTAGACCCTGCTTTCCAGAAGTAGACTGGTGAGAAAAGTTGCCATTTTGTCTCTGTTGTTTTCCTGGGCTTTCACTATTTCTTTCTTCCTGTTGACTCCTGTCCCCTCTGCTGCTGTCACCTGGCTGCACAGTGTCTGCCATTGGCAGGGTCTGCAGCTTCTGATGGCATTAGCCAATGCCCACCATCTGAGTGCATCTCAACATGCTTAAGGTAACCTTTACTCCATGTGAGCAGGGCTAGCTGGATTTGGCTAGTCATGATACCTTATTCAAAGGATGGTAGAGGTTTAGTCGTATTTTCTTGACTTATCCTCTGAGACTACTCACCTGTGAGGAGCAAAGCAAGGCATGGTGGCTACACTTACCACAAGAGGCAGAGGCCCCGTCCTTCCTCCAGCTAATAAAGCCCTGCAAGGGGGACTGGCTCCCTCCCCCAACAGTTTAATGCATGGCTAATGCCCCCTTCTTTTTCTTTGAGCCCTGTGTGTCTCCACCATAACCCAGGTGAAGAAGATTCTCCCAGCTTCTAATACGTCTGCTAAGTCCTTTCCTTTTCCCCTTTTTCTCTGATTTTTCAGCAGCAGGAAAAGGTTTTGCTGTCAGCAGCATTCCGTTAACCTCATGCAAACTCCACTCCGGGGAGTTTGCACGGTGTGAGACACTGGAAAACAGGTGAGATATAGACAGGAACTGGCAAAAAGTCATGAAGCTGAGTGTAGTCTTCTACTTCCTTCAGCTGGCTGCTTTTGCCGGAATACCCCCTCCTCCCCTTCTTTATATGGCAGAGTGAAATTTGGGGTTACGTGGAGTCAAATAAAGAGATTTCTCTATATCAAGAAATAGCAGCCCACCGGACGGGTCATCGTGGTTTTTCATTGAAGTAAATGGTCTGGTTCCATCCACTCAGGGCAGAGGATCCTTAAAATACAAGTAACAGTAGCCTGCTACAGAGGCACATGAAAAGGCCTTTAAGTGTTATCTCCTATTCTTTTGCAAAGCAATAGAGATTGGGAATGCAGCTGAAAGCTCAATGATAAACAAAACTTTAATGCAGTAAAACTTTATTGAGGGGGTGATATCCAGATATTTGCTGCCACTGATAATAAAAGCAGCAAAAATAGTCAGGTGTGTGTGTCATTTAGCTGCACTGGAATTTTCATTGCTCTAATTCAAAGCTAATTTCCGCTACTGCAAGCAGGTCTCATTTAGCCCATGCTAGGGAGGGGCTATCAGATACCACAGTGAGCCTACTGCTCTTTAGCATTTCAAAGGCTTATACGGTTATTTTATCTGGACTGGAATTCTGTACTGAAAGGGCAAGCTTTCAGATATTTTACTTCTCTTTGGCTATTAACAGTGTGTGATTCTGCTGGGAAATGTGATAATGGAAAAGAGCTCTTTGTGGTGTTTTATGGCTGCTGCTGCTTGGCTCATGCTTTCTTTCAGCTGTCCATCCTTCAAAATCCAACCAGGTATGGAAAAGGGATCTGGGTGCAACCTTCATCCATCTGTGTGAGTGAGGACATGCCTGCAGGCTGAGAGGCTCCAGGGATCTGCCACACTTGTTTCACATCCTGGATTTTCCCACCCATCTTCTTCCCTGAGATGCAGAGTGTCCTGCTGGCACATGACCTGCAGAGGAGGTGGAAAGGTGCTACCACTCAAGCCTGCCACCTACTTTTGTCCTAGACCAAAAATTACTCTAGAGAGTGTAATTGCTTGGCACATTTGCACAGGTTGTGCTAAACAGTGCTAAAGGAGTTGGGATAGAGGTGTGCCTGGTTATAACATGTACTTGTATGGGGATATTTGGATAGCTTCAGTCACATGCCATTCTCCATTTTTCTGGATACACCCAAGCATACTCAAGCAATGTGGGGTGGGAGGGGAAGGATATGGTGCTGGGGATGGTAGTGGGGTAAGAACATGAGTCTGAGCAGCTGCATTAGAGGAGCTGCACCACAGGAATGTAATGGGATGTGGGGTAAGAATGGGTGGGGTGATCAGGCCTGCTGTTGTTAGCACTGCTTATACCTGAAAGCAGCCTGAAAACTGAGACCTAAAACTCTGCATCCACTCCCTCACCAGCAAAGCCCAGCATCCAAACTAGCATGTGAAAAGCAGCACTTTTCAGGCCTGAAAGCAGGAAGCACTTTGCATTTTTTCTGTTTATCTCTTGGTGAAAACCACCCCTTTTTTCCTTTATGAGACTGTTTTTACATAGATCCTGCATGTGATGTGCCAGGCTGGAGGCATAAACAAGTAAGAGTGAATAATGGAGGTAAGACACTATTACAGACCAAGAGGCCTTACTTTTCATTTCTTCTGTACTGTGAGTTTGATGGCTGGCTCTTTTCAGGGTGAACAATAGCACTCCTAACAACCAGAGGGACAGAGGTAAGGGAAAATGAACCTCTCCTCCAGCGAGAAGTGTTCACCTCCTTGGTAGGAACGGCTTCCCGAACAGAAACCCCCAGTATGGAGAGTGTTTAGAGAAACTCAGGTGAAGGCTGAAGGGATTCAGGCAGGTGCCATGGTGAACATGACTGTCCCTAGCTGGTTTTGGGGAGACCACCTTGGCTTCATCCGGGGCTCAGGAGGTTGACTGGACCTTGGTACAACCCAGAGACCTGGGATTGTGCTTGAAATTTTGGGTTCAATAGCCCAGGGCCACAAATCACAGCAAGGCAAGCGAGGCAAGCCTAGCACTGCCTCATCTGCCACTCCTGTGAGAGGAGGAATGCCATTTGTCAAGTTTGGCAAATGCAAAGTCATCAATTGCTATTTTATCCCCATTTTCCAACCTTCACCTGTTCATTTTTAGCACAGTAATGCTCTCCGCTTCAAAGCCTTGTGTCTGGTGTCTGTGGATGGAGCAGTTTTGCTTACCAAGGGTTCCCAGTATGATTAAATTGACCTCTTCCAGGTGTTGGGGTATGAGCTGAAGGTACTGATTTTTACAGCAACTAGTCAAAAAAAACCCCAAACCCAACCCTAAAAGCCCAAAGTGCTCTAAGAACAGGGGAATCCATAAAACATGTCAGGTCGCAACTAAAAAACAAAATAAACAGGGCTAAAAATAAGAATCCATAAATTGCCTTGCTGCTGATACAAGGCTCTTTAAATACATCAAAGCCACAGAGGTAGTTAGGAACATTGATGACAAGGGTATAAAAGGGGCAGATGGGGATGATAATGTAGCAGAGAAGGTCAGTGATATCTTTGTGGCTGCTTTTATAGATGAAGCTGTTGGGAAGCTTCATATATGTGCCAGTGTGCAGTGGATCAGCTGGAGGAGCCAGAGCTATCAGAAGTACAAAGGTAACATAGCATAAAAAGCTAACAGGAGTAAAGGAAAGTAAGTGAAGTAACTAGGTAACAGGAGGGATAAGGTCAAATAGAAAAAGTGGTTGTTAATAAGTGACCAGGACCAGGCAGCACTGATCCTGAGGACCAGAGGAGCAACACAGCCCAGTGGTGCAGGTGCAGGGAGCTGCAGTACCCGGCTGTGTGCCCAGGCATGGTCAGCCCATCACACTGAGCTCTCACTGGTGGGTCTCCGAAGCCACTGACTCAGGGTGGCAGCCAAACACCCACTGGAATCTGGGGGTACACAAAGCTGTGAGGTTGCTGTCACAGGATGTTGTGGATGCTGTATCTGCAGGTTCAAGAGGAGATTAAGCAAATTCAATGATGCAAACGCCTGAGAGAGATGTATCCCCTGAAAACAGGATGAGAAAGCAGGTATGCTGGAGGAAGGGGCTATAAAAGGAACTGGGCCCCCAAGACATTCCTTCCTGTTACAGTCTCTGGAGCAGAGACTGGGGCTGGATGGACACCCTAGGTCAGAGGCACATTTCTCACCTTCTGCATTGCCCTGTTTTATTCAACACAGCATGGGCTGAAAGGTGATGCCCGTTTCATGGGTACATAGTGGGTCTTTTATGTCCTAATTATGCCCAGGCTGCTCATAGAACAGGGAGAGGCAGGGTAAAGTGTTGTACATGAGGCTCTGCTGTTTGTGTAAAAACAGCCTCATAAAAGAAACAAAGAAGAAATTTCGCAAGCAAGCAACTGAAAAAATGCAAAATGCTTCCTGCTTTTGAATGCGGAAGGTGCCGCCTTTCACACACAAGCTCCAAAGACAAACCTCCAGAGAGCAAACTTTATTCCTCTCCTCCAGGAAAAGCAAACTAAGACCAACAGCTCCCACTCTCCCTCTCCTGGTAGAAGCAAAACAGCTTATGAAGGATCTGTGCCTCACCTGCTTCCCTCTGTTCCAAATTCCCTGGGCAATGTCTCCAAATCCCAGACAGTGTCCCCCATGGCACCCTCTAGGGTGGGCAACATCAAGTGAAGCAGAGAAAAAAAAATCTGCCCAG